CCACCTGCTCTTACCCACCGTCTGCACGTCTCTGCCAGTTTGCTTCTAAGGGAGATAAGCCCCCGGTGGAGATCTTTGTGGCTGATGAGTGGATCAGGCCTGAGCAAGCAGTTGTCAAGTACAAGATGGCTGCTGGCTTTCACCGGAGCTCCTGGGACTGGATTGGCCTCTACCGGGTAGGGGCTGGGGTCCTTGGCAGTGTGATGTGATCCCCTCTGTAGCTGCCCCCTCCCACAGGTGCTGATGAACGGCCTGAGTGTGGGCTCTCCCATTCTGGGAAGGCCACGTTGGGCTGTGGATCCAGCACTTCTCTTTCTCCCACTCTGTGGGTTCCATATGGCCCGAAGCTATTGCTGGAGCTGAGAGAAGAGCAAAAGCACCAGCTCACCTCCTTTCTTCCACAGGTGGGTTTTCGGCATCCTAAAGACTATGTGTCCTACGTTTGGGCCAGGAGCGATGATGGAGAGCGCTGCGTAGAGAAGCAGCTGTGTGCACAGGTGAGCAACTCTGGGAGTCAGGGCCATGGGGTGAGGCAGCAGCAGCCTCTGGACCTTTGGATGGCACCAAGCAGGGTGCAGGCCCACATATGGGGGTGGCTGGGGGGTGCAGCCCTGTGCTCAGCCTGATGCCCATCTGCTGCAGGTGATGTTCTCAGAGGAAGCGCTGCCCAAGGGGAAGGGAGAGTACATCCTCGGGTACTACAGCAACACCTCCAGCAGCATCGTGGGTGTGACAGAGCCATTCCAGGTCAGCAATGCCCCGAGGTGAAGGGTGGGGGGAGGGAGGTTTCAGCAGGGCAAGGCGTTCTGCTGCAGTGCCCCACAGCCCCCTCTGTGGGTCAGGGCCCAATGCTGATGTGTGGTGCAGATCTCCCTGCCTCGATCCGAGGAGGGCAGCAGCCCTACGGACAGCTCTGGCAGCAGCTCAGAGGAGGAGGATGACAGCACTCTTGTCCTGCTGGCCCCCAAATCCCGCAGCCCCAGCCCGGGCAAGATGAAGCGGCACCGGAGCCGCAGCCCCAGCCTGGCCAAGTTCCAGGGTCTCATCCTGCGCCCATCGAGCCGTGACCGGGGCACCAGCCGGAGCCCCTCACCCCAGAGTCGTCGTGCCCTCACTGGGGACATCCCTGCCATCCACCTGCCCCAGACAGAGCTGGGACGCCGTGGATCCAAAGCCAAGGAATCGGGGCAGGTGGCCAACAGCCAGGAGGGCGGCCCGGGTTCCTTCTACCAGACTGTGCGGGAGCCGTGCGTTGCCCGGCGTGCTGCTGCTGACAACCCTCTGGCCAGGGCTGATCCCAGGAACCTGGGCCTGCTGCCTGCGCTCCGCCTGGAAACCATTGACCAAGCCATGGGCCGACGGAGGGAGAGTGCAGACCAGGGCTACCCCTGCCGCAGGATGAGCCCCACCAGCCCTCCTTGCAGCACTTCCCCAAAGGAAGGGGGCAGTCCCCGGGAGCTGGATGGTTACAGCTGTACCATGGGGCGCTGAGGCTGCGCCCCCTCCCTCCGTAGCGCGCTTGCTGTGTGCTTTCCCGTGCCACGTCCCTGCTGTGAGCCATCCCCCTCCCTTATTTATTGCAGTGAATCACCCCTGCACCCCCGCTGCCTGCCTGCCCTGCTCCTCCCGGGGCTGCAAAGGAGGCACAGGGGAGGGAGTGGTGGTGAGGGAACCCCTCGTGTGTGTCAGAACTGCGGGACGCTCAGTCCTAGGGCAGGTGAGTGGCCTGGAGGTGCTGGGGGCCAGGGATGGCGCTGCAAATGAGGATGTTTGCCCCCTCCTCCCGGGGCACAGCACTGCTGCGGGCACCCTGCAGATGGGAGCTTGCTTCTTTCCTGCCCTTACCACTGTGCCTCGGGCTTGGACATAGTGTGAGCAACAAAATAAAGCATCCCGCCTGCCCCAGCTGCACTGTGCTTATTGCAGGGTGGGGGCTGTGGGGAATGCAGGACCCCAGCACCGTGCACCGTGTCACTCTGCCCTTTATTTGCCTTGTGCCACACGCAGGCACTGACCCTCCCGAGGCACGGCACTGTGCTCCCACCTCTAGAGCTCGGGGTGGAACCTGACTCGCCCCAACCCCCCTGCTGCAGGGGCAAAACCGGGGCTGGGGGTCCTGGCACCGTCCTGCCCGGGGCTCCCGCGCCCGCAGCATCCTTCAGGGGCGGTCGCTTTTTCCTGCCCCCTCTCCTTTCCCTTTGCTGTGGTGGCAGCCGCCGCTCCTAGGGATGGCAGCTGAGCCTCCTCCACCCCTTTCCTGCCCCACGCAGTCACGCCAGCAGCCACTCTCGGAGCCATCCTTTCTCTCAAGGACCCGACATTGAGCAGCTCCGCCCCGCAGCGCAGCTCCTCCCCACGCACGGTACAGCCCAGCCGCTGGGGCTCAGCGGGGCGCGGGGTGCTGCGGGGCTCCCATCCCCTGCTCCAGGGCCACCCGCCGGCACCGTTCGTACAGAGCATCACCGCCGCTCTCCTGCTCGTTCCACTCCCGACGTTCAGCACCTCGGCGCCGCAGCGTGGTCCTCAGATGCCGTGCGGGTACCAGCACGGCCCGGACCGCGGCGTCACAGCTGCTGGAGGAACAGAACAGAGAGCGTTGCGGCGAACAAAGCACCGCCAGCCCCGGCCCACCCCCGCTCCCTCCACACTCACCCGCTCCGGCGCTCCGCTCCGCACTCGGCCTGCGGTTCCAACACGAAGCAGCGCGCGGCGATGCGCTCCGCCAGGAGCGGCGGCTCCGCGCCCCCGGGGCCCCTCGCCCTGCGCAGGGACCTCACCATTCTGCGGGGACAGCGGGGCAGCTCTCAGCACCCCGCCCGTCCCCCCTCTCCAGCCCCGCTCTGGGCGATGACGGACGGACGGAAAGGCCGCCCCACGGCACACACCTGCGGGTGCAGTTGCAGTGGAAGAGCGTCCGCGCACCGCCGTTCCGCAGCCCGTACTTCGTCTCGCGGGGCGCGATGCGGTGCTCGCAGCGATCCAGGTGCCGATAGGCTCTGCACAGCCTCCCCAGCCCTGGCGGCAGAGAGCGGCGATCGGACCGAAGCTCTCGGCCCCGGGGACGCCCTCTCCGGTCCCCATCCGGCTCTCACCCCTCCGCCTTCCCGCGACGCTCCCCGGGCCGGTCTCACACCGCTCCGCCTCTCCGACGGCGCCGGGCTGCTCGTCGCACGCGGAGTTCCCGACGGCCGCAGCGGTCGCGGTGCCGTAGGGGCTCTGCCGCACCATCGTGGCCACCGGCACCACCGCGTACCGCTCGCATCTGAGGGCGCCGCATCAGGAGCCGCCCGACGGCCGCAGCCCGCGGCTCCCGCGGCCCCGCACTCACCCGCCCCACCAGTGCCAGCGCACGCACTGCTCGGCGCGCCGCAGCACGAAGCACGGCACCTCCAGGAGGTCGAAGAAGGTGACTCCGATGAGGTCGGAGACGGTGTCGTTGAGGGCCCGCAGGCAGCGGCGGAACGCGGCGTCGCAGTCGCAGTGGCTGACGGTGTGCGGGCGGTAGTTGCGGATGCCGAAGCCGAACTGCAGAGCCTCGATCTGCGTCCCGCACCGATCGTGCTCCCGGCAGCAGCGGTCGGGGCCGCGGAACAGACCTGCGGGCGGCGATGTTCAGTGCCCCGCCCGCCCCGCCACGCGCGGCCCCGCGCGGCGCCCCGGCCCGTACCCAGCTCGGAGGAGTTCCCGGCCGAATCCCCAGCCCCGCACCACAGCGTCCCCGGCACAGTCCAACCCCTCCTCCGCCTGCGGTTCCCGCGGTGCGGCGATGGCTCGGCGCACGCCGCCCGCCGCCTCCACAGCGCGGCCACGTCCCGGCGCAGCGCGGGCGCGGGAGCGGCGGACGGGCGGCGGGCGCAGGCGGCGAGGAAAGCGCGGATCTCGCGGGGGTCCCTCCGCGCCCAGCAGCCCCGCAGCTTTCCGCGCCCGCCCCACGCGCCCTCCACCAACGCGGGCGGCCCCGGCCCCGCGCTCAGGAAGGCCGCGTAGCGCTCGCCGCCTGCCGCCACCCGCCGCGCGCACACCGCTCCGCCGGGCCAGGCGCGCGCGCACGCGGCGGCCAGTAGCGCCGCTCCCGCCAGCACCGCGCGCGCCCACATCCCGCGCGCGTCCCCCGTCACCGCCGCCGCCTTTAAGCCCGCGCCGCCGCCGGCGCTCCGCGCGCCGATTGGTCCGCGCCGCTCTCGGCCCCGCCCCTCCATGAGCGCGGGAGCCCCCCCGCGTGGCGCGCCCCCGTGCGGAGCGGGTGCGGGCGCGCGGCGCTCATCGCGGGGCCTGGACTGCGGGAGGCGGGCGGGCACCGCGCGGAGCTTCGCCGCCTCCCGTCGGGGCTCCGCGGTGGCACACGGGGGGCAGAGTCCGCCGTGCCACGACGGCCCCGCGCTGTCCTCTGAGTCACAAAGGTCCCGCGGCCGCCGCACGGCGCCCTCGGGGTAACCGAGCGGTTGGGGGGACGCGGCCCCGCGACGGGCCCGGGGGGAGCTGCGCGTCCCCTGGCTTCCTCACGTGCAGCCCAGGCTGTGCTCGCACGGCCAGCCGTGAGCGCGCCGGGGACCGCCGAGTTTGTCTTCGTCTGGGAGATAACGGCACCGCGGCCGCCACCGCTCTGCCCTTCACCCCGCCGCCCCACGCGTCGCACCCGTCGGGCTCCCGGCTCCGCTGACGTGGCCGAGGCCGTGGCCAAGGCCGGCACGGGGCCGAACGCTTCTCTGCGCCCGACGCGTCCCGATGGGCTGCCCGGGCCGGGGAGGTGGCACCGTGCTGGGGGCCGTGTGGGGACAGCGGAGCGGCCGTGTCCCGCGCTGAAGGCACGGCCCTGGCCCCGTCCTTGTTTTGCTGCCAGAGGGGGAACAGAGCCCCGAGGCACGAGCGGAGCGCAGGTAAAGGCAGCCGAACCCACTCGTGTTCCTGCAGGATGGGGTGCGGGTGGCAATTCCCATCGCTTTCTGCATCTCCGGTCAAACCTCGGTGTTCCCGGGAGGTGCTCGTTTATTGCACCTCTGTGAATTCCTTCGGATTTTGGGAAACGCAGCACGGGTGCTCCGAGCACATCCCCTCCTCCTGCTGGGAAAGGAGCAACGCTGCGCTGTGCCCTCACCGCTCCGGGAGGTGAGCAGCTCACCGGGGAACAAACCCCGGGCTTGCTTAACGCTGGGCGTGTTGCGTCCTACCGTTGCACAACCATCACCGATGACTGTTACACCGATGTGCTTTTGGGTTTTCTCACAGTGAATCATTAACCCTCGGTTACAACCACGGGCTGCAACACGCTCTGCTGCCTTTCCCGGCTCTGCTCCGCGCCGGCGGCTCTGGGCCATGTGCAGCCGAGCCTCCCTCCGCAGCCATCCCGCAGCCCCCAGGGAGCGCTGCCGGGTCGGGCCGGGCCGAGCCGTGCCGGGCGGAGCGCAGCGGCGATGGGGCCGGGCTGCCGGAGGGCGGTGAGCAGCTATTCCAGCCCGCAGGTGGTGGTGGTGAGGGACGGGCTCCTCGGCACCGCGTATCGGGCGTTGCAGCTCCTGGTGCTGCTTTATTTCATCGGGTGAGTGGGATGAGGTAGGAGCCGATCTGATCTGATCCTGTGCTTCGCTGTGCTGGCAGCTCTGACACCTGTCTCGGTCTTTGTCCCTGTCCCGATCCCCGCAGGTATGTGTTCATCGTGCAGAAGGGCTACCAGGAGCGAGAGACGGGCCCTGAGAGCTCCGTCATCACCAAAGTGAAGGGCGTGACGCAGTCGCCGAGCAAGGTCTGGGATGTTGGGGAGTACGTGGCCCCCCCCGAGGTGAGCTCTCACTCTGCTGCTCCAGAGATGCTCGGCTCCTCCTGGCTGTGCCGTGACCGCTGTCTTCCCCCTGGGCTGCTCTGTAGGGTGGGAGCAGCTTCAGCATCCTCACACGGGTGGAGGTGAGCGCTGCCCAGGCCATGGGGACGTGCCATGAGGTGAGCACGGTGGGCACGGGGCAGGGTGGTGTGTGGGGAACAAGCTGTGCTTGGCAACTAAGGGGGGGAGGAGGGGGAAGGTGGGGCACCAGTGAACACAGCTGTTCCCCATGGCAGGAGGTGAATGGATGTGTGCCCACCCCACCATCCCCATTGCCATTCCCATCCCCATCCATCTCCTTCTCTATTCCCACCCCATTCCCAACCCTATCCTAATCCCCATTCCTATCCCATCCTCATCCATCTCCTTCTCGATTCCCATCCCCATTCCCATTCCCATCCCAATCCCCACTCCCCCGCAGGGTCCCAGCGCTGCATGCCACTCAGAGCAGGACTGCGTCTCTGGGGCCATGGATGCATCCCACCACGGTGAGCCCGGGAGGCACAGTGCATTGCCTCTCCTCGGGCAGGACCCAGTGCTGAGTGCCTGTCCCCTACCTTGCAGGTGTGAGGACGGGGCGCTGCGTGCCCGGGGGCAGTGGGAGAAGCTGTGAGGTGCTGGCCTGGTGCCCTCTCCATGGAGGCAGCAGCAGGTACAGGCAGTGTGCTGGCCTGGGTTGTGCACAGCCCCCACCTGGGGATGCATGATAAGGGGCAGCAATGTCCCTGTTGTGAGGCTGGCTGAGAGCTGCAGTGCTCTGTGCTCACTCCTCTGCTCCCAGCGAGTCCCTGGCGGAGATGGCAGAGCAGTTCACCATCCTCATCAAGAACCACATCCGATTCCCCCGCTTCGGCTTCTCCAAGTGAGCACTGCAGGTTCCAGGGCTGATGGTTGGGATCCTGGCAGTGGCCCCTCGTGGCAACAGCAGCAGCAGAGATGCTGTGTGGCACAGCACATCCCTGCAGGGCCCTCTGCAGATGCTCCAGCACCAGTCCTATCCCATCCCCTGACGCACAGCTCCCTGCCTTGCTCTCCCCAGAGCCAACATTCAGGCTGCTGAGAGCCACTACCTGAAGAGCTGCACCTTCAATGCCACCTCTGCGCTGTACTGCCCCATCTTCAGGCTGGGCTTCCTGGCTGAGCAGGCAGGCGAGGACTTTGCAGTGCTGGCTGAGAAGGTGCGGTGCGATGTGCAGCCTCACCCCAACATCCCCCAGCATTGTGGGTCCCTCCCTTTTGGCTCTTCTGGGGAGCTCCTTGTCCTGGGGATGCCACGTCCTGGGGATACAGTGCCCAGGGGATGCTGTGCACCTGGGGATGATGGGCACCTGGGGATGATGGGCACCTGGGGGTGCTATGTGCCTGGGGATGGTGGGCACCTGGGGATGATGGGCACCTGGGGGTGCTGTGTGCCTGGGGATGATGGACACCTGGGGATGATGGGCACCTGGGGATGATGGGCACCTGGGGGTGCTGGGTGCCTGGGGATGGTGGGCACCTGGGGATGCTGTGTGCCTGGGGATGATGGGCACCTGGGGATGATGGGCACCTGGGGATGCTGTGTGCCTGGGGATGGTGGGCACCTGGGGATGATGGGCACCTGGGGGTGCTGTGTGCCTGGGGATGATGGACACCTGGGGATGATGGGCACCTGGGGATGATGGGCACCTGGGGATGATGGGCACCTGGGGGTGCTGGGTGCCTGGGGATGGTGGGCACCTGGGGATGCTGTGTGCCTGGGGATGATGGGCACCTGGGGATGATGGGCACCTGGGGATGCTGGGTGCCTGGGGGTGCTGTGCCTGCAGTCTGCTATTGCTGCACAAGCTCTGCTGCCCTGCTGCAGGGTGGAGTGATCGGTGTCATCATCAGCTGGGACTGCAACCTGGATCTGCCTGACACCGAGTGCAACCCGCGCTACTCCTTCCGTCGCCTCGACCCCAAAGGGACTTTGGCATCGCCAGGCTACAACTACAGGTGACAGCCCCATCCCCTCAGTGTCCCCGTGTCTTCCTCCAGCCCTCACACCTGTGCCCGCACGCCTTCCAGGTTTGCCAAGTACTACAGCTGGAACGGGACCTGCACACGGGTGCTGACCAAGGCCTATGGGATCCGTGTGGATGTGATTGTGCAAGGCCAGGCAGGGAAGTTCAGCCTGATCCCCACGGTCATCACGTTGGCCACTGCGCTCACCTCAGTGGGACTGGTGAGTGTCCCGGGCTGTGGGGCTCAGCCCATGGCCCTGCACTGACCTCACTGTGCTCTTCTGCAGGGCTCCTTCCTCTGCGACTGGGTGCTGCTGTGCTGCATGGACAAGGAGCGGCGGTACAGCAGCAGGAAATTTGAGCAGGTACTGGTGGGCTGAAGATGCTCCTCTGCAGCCTCAGAACGTTCCCCTCCATCCCCAGATTGACATTTCCCACACAGAGCTGTGCCCACGGCTGGGCAGAATGCACCTTACAGCCACCCACTACTGCTGCCAATAAACCATCACTGCTCAGCACGCCTGTGTCAATGGAAGGATGCAAGAACCACTGCTTGCTGCGCCTGGGGGAGAAGAGCCAGGGGAGCTGAGGGGCTCTGGGGCTGCCACCAAGGCACAAACCCTGCCCAGAGGCTGCCTGCAAAGCCACAGTGCTGCTGGCCCCAGCCCAACAGCGCTGTGCAGCTGGCGCCTGGCAGTAAGCAAGTGGGGTATTATTTCTGAGCATAATCCACTGTTTTCCTGCTCTCACGTTACAGCACAGCCTCCCACAGCGGCTCAGGGGAGAAGCAGGGTGGGGGGTGAGGGGAGGGCTGCAGCACACAGAGCCTCAAGGGCTGTGGGAAACACCCCAGAGCAGGGTAGGGTGCGCTGCTGCTCCAGGGCTGTGCTGTAGGACAGCAGTGACTGCACCACTCTGTGCTCAGGCTGAGCCCCAGGGAGGCACTGCCCAGCCCCGGCTGCAGCCCCCTGGGATGCAGTTACCAGCAGTATGGGCTGAGCCAGACACTAACTCAATTGCACAAAGCAGCAATCGCATTAGGGGCTGGCTCTGCTGCCCCTCCAGCCCGGTTCATTTGGAAATGAGGGGCACAGCCTTCTCTGTTTGCAGCCCAGGAGCAAACAGAGGCAGCTCCCTGCTCCTTCCTGCACAGCCAGGAGCCCCTCTGCAAGAACCAGGCGTGCTTTAAACAAAGCATTTATTTATACATATTCTACATTAAAAACACACCGGGCTGGCACACGGAGTCACACCTCCAGCACTAACATCCACCCTGGGCACAAGATCCCTATGGAGCACAACTCCCACACACCCTGGCCCCGTGCTGGGCTGGCTGCAGGAATCACAGCTCCTCCCCTGTTGATGCAAGCACCCAGCAGTTCCTAACCAATGCAGGATGCAGGAGCAGCCTCAGTGCTGGAGCTGGGGGTTGGTGTGCAGCAGCCATTCGATGGTTTCCAGCAGATGGGCCATGCCATAGTGCCGGGCAATGTTCTGGAAGATGGTGATGTGCTCCATGAAGGTCTGAGGGAGGAGGGAGAAGAGAAGCTCACACGGTGGACAGTGGTTAGAGGAAAGGCAGGAGGGCAGCTGGGTTTGGCATCCTATCCCTAACCCAGTAGGAAAGTCACCACGCAGGGAGCCAGCAGCATGGAGGTGGGCCAGGCAGCCTGCTGCAGGAGTACCTGGGAGGAGATGGTGAGGGCAAAGTCTCCAGCACAGCTGCAGTACACAGGCATGTGTGTGTCCTTCACGCCGTGGCACTTCTTGCACACCTAAGAGGCAAAGGAGCTTTAGGTGGGATGGGATGAGACACCCAGCCTTCTGCTGGGCACACAACGGGCACAAAGACAGGGAAGTGCTGCCAGGGGCTGATGAGACGTGGGACCAACGCCTCCGTGCTGTTTGCAAGGTCAATCTGCCCCCCCTAGGGCAGCCCGGTGCTCACCAGGTCCTGCAGCATGAAGGCCATCAGCTTCTTTTGCAGGGCTTCCACCAAGGCCATTTCTATGGAGTCAGAGTCGTACTGTGCCTGGCAGTTGGAACACACCCAGCTAGGCAGCACCGATCCGTCCTGGACGCAAAGGGGAGGGCAGTGAGCACAGAACAGACTCTTCCTAAGAGGAAACGGTCAAACAAAGCTGCCTGGGAAGTCCCCAGTGCCAGGGAGATGCAATCAGGGTGAACTCTGCTCCTGGAGAGAATGGAGCACACAGCACTGGGGTTTCTCACAGAGAGCTGGAAAAGGGGGTGCATAGAAATGGGCTTTAGGGGAGGCTGAGCAGCACAGAGCCAAGCAAAGGGCATGAGGGAGGAAGGGGGATTGACAGGCGTCGAGCAAAGCCACGCTAAAGCCTCTGTGTCCACGGCTGCACCTGGGAGAGGGCTGGGTCCTTGCACAGGTCCAGGTCCCTGCAGAAGTTGCAGTTTCTGCAGATGACTTCAGGGAGCACATAGGAGCTGCAAGGGTCCCGAAACTGGGCTTCATCTGAGAACTCTCCCACCTCGATGAGGCGCAGCAGGTCCCTGCGCAGCTTGTTCACCTGGTTGGTGACATTGGCATCCAGGGACAGCACCTGCAAGAGACAGCCCAGTGAGCCCACCAGCAGAGTCCTCCTGAGGACAACTCACACCTCACACAGATAGAGAGCAGGGCAGGGCAAAACAAATTGGCTGCAGATCTGCAGGAAAGCTCTGACAGATCAGAGCCAATGGACTATAGAGTTTGAGCCCTGAGCACAAACCCTCAGAGAAGCAGCCCAGCCCACCCGGCCGACCTGGCAAACATATTTGATGAACTCCAGAGCAGGGTTGTTGAGTGGCAAGTGGGAGCCGGGCAGCACCGGGAACAAGTCTGATGGCTCAGTGGTGTGTCGGGAACCAGACATCTTCTTCTGGATCTTCTGCGTGATGGTGAAGAAGCTCTGAGTGAGCTCATTGGCCACGTAATCCTGTGAGAAGGTGATCATGCCTAGGGAGACCAAGTGGAGAGCTGTGAGTGCATGCAGTGCAGCTGTGGCCGGCCAGGTGGGAGGCTCCCTGCCTTCCCCTGGGCTGCAGCAACGCCAGCCCCAAAAGCCCACGCTGGGCACCCACCAGGCATGGCTCCTGTCTCGCCCTGTGCCTCCTGGGTCACCTGGCTGGTGCCTCTTCTCTTGACAGGAGTGCTGCCGGGGGCATTGCGCCGCAGCTCCTCCTTCATGCTGTGGTACACGGCCACGATGTAGGCTGCAGGGACACCAATGGGGACAGCTCGTGTTGGGGCAGCAGCAGCTGCCTTGTTGCAGGGCTCTTGGGATCAACTGCCAGGCCCTACTCACCCGACACAATCATCAGGAAGTAGTTCTGGCAGGAGGCAGCCTGTGGCAAGAACTGCACGATGTTCCAACTGTTCTCCAGCAGCTCCTCCACGTTGGATTCGTCTTCCTCGTCTTCTTCCCCTGCCTCCTCCTCTTCCTCACTGTCTCCCTCCTCTAGTGCTTGCTTCTTGCTGGTATCCTTCTGGAACAGCACACAATGAGTCAGTGATGTTAAAGAGCTCCTCGGAGCCAGATGATGCCTCCCCAGTCAGCTCAACCCCAGCCTCAGCTCAGCTCCTTGGGGACTGAGTGCTTCCTCTCCCTTACCTCCCCGCAGTGGATGCGAGAATGCACTTTTCCCTTGATACCTCCGTAATTGGCTGGATCCATCCAGAGCAGGAACTCCCAGCAGCGGGAGAAGGAAATAGTCAGAGAGTGGAAGATCTCCTTTGAGTGGATGCTGGAGAGAAGAGACTGCAGTCAGTGATGGCATCAGCATCTGCCCTAGTTAACAGCCTTCTCCTTGGGATGGAGTGGTGTTGGCAGCGACAGGGCAACCGCCCACGTTCTCCTGAAGGTCCCTTCTGGATTGAATCCTACAGGAGCTCAGGGAAGCCAGGTGCTGCCCACCTGTTAATAATGTACTCCATGTAGCTGATGGCATCCTCGATTCGCCGCTTCTTGGTGCACAGGATGATCCGGTTGAAGTTGGCGTACACCACCGAAGAGCCGAGGCGCCTGAACTCAGCCACCAACCTGCAGGCAGAGCACAGGAGCTGCATTCAGCATGCAGGAAGAACCGCTGCCATCCAGCTCCCCGTTAGCAGCAAACAGCACAGCGGCTCTGAGTCACGGCCCATCTGCAGCCCTGTGCCTTAGGAAGATGCAACAGAAGGATCTGGTTGGGGGTGCCAACAGCATCCCGGTCACAAATGTCACGCTATGCCTGTCCCTTCTTTCTCAGGGCCTGGCAAGCTCCCGTTCTCACTTACTGCAGGAAAAGCTTCTTCATCATGTTGTGCAACGTGCGGTGCAGCGCCGGGTCGTAGAGCAGAGAGGAAGGAGAGCGAAGCCAGCGGTAAAAGTGAATGACCTGGTTGTCTGCATAGATGTTGTGGTACTGCGTGATCTCCTTCACCCAACTCACCACCATGCTCTTCAGAATCCTGCCAGGGAGCACAGAGGAACATCACCCCACCGGCCACAAACAATCCCTTCCTCCTTCCAGAAAGGGACAACGCTTTCAGAGATATGCAGGATGACTCTGAGGCCCTCAGCCACAGGGTAAATAAGTGCCTCTGTAAGCCTCCAGCTCCTCCAGCCCTACCTGAACGTGTTGGAGCAGAGGGCGGTTTCGTCATAGCTGGCTGGGATGTTGGCAGCTTGGTTCCCTGTCACCATATCTTCCAAGGATGCCTGCTGAATTACGTCAAAGCTGATGCTCATGCTGGAACCCCCTTCCATATCATTTACATGATGGGACTGCAGCACTGTGTTCACAGCCAGGCTCTGGATGTCCAGCTCCAGGCACACTACGAAGAAGCACAACCTCTCAGCAGGCGGGCAGGGCATCCCCATCCCAGACTCTTCCCAGTGCTGCCATTGGCATCCATAAATTAGGAACTGCATCCAGCCCCGTGCAGCGCACGCAGAGCAGCACACCTGGCTCTGCCCTCCTCACCTGTGGAATAGCAGCCAGGGTTGTTTATCTCCACCGAGGCTCTCTCATCAAACTCCATGACGAGGCGGTTGTCATCGGCCTCCTTCCCCCCCAGGTCCGGGCGGGCCGTGGGTGAGAGCCACAGCAAATGGTTGTGACGACGGAGGTGCCGTGAGAAGAACAGGTCAGAGCCAAAGGTGGAGATGTCATCAGGGAGGTTCCCGATGGGAATGTGGTAATATCTGGAAGAGAAGTACAGTCAGCAGGAGTGAGCACAGCCACGCCTGTCCCAACAAGGGACATGCAGCACCTGCCCTTGGCTTGGCTGCAGTCTCTTCTCGGTGAGGAGCCTGGCAACCCCAGTGCAATGCGGCCAACCCCAGGCACCTGCTCATCTCAAAGGCCTGGGACAGGCACGTGTCCAGGTTGAGGTAATGGCGGATCATCCGTCGGGCTGCGTGGCGCTGCCAGTCCAGGACTGAGTAGCTGATGTCATCCAACACCCGGATGGGGACCAGGGGGAACTCCTCCAGGATGGGAATGCCGCTCGCCAGCCGCTTCAGCTCCCAGTTGGACTGCACAGCAATCAACGTGGGACCCCGGCGCTCATCCTGTGAGCAGAAGACATGTCCTGCACGTCTCCAG